GCTATGGGGTATAATTGCCAATTTATTCATTAGTTAGTTCTTTACCAAGTGGTTTAGCTGTCGATTGCTCCTGCTGACAAGATTCATTGCTGTACCTCCTAACCCAAATACGTATCCTGATTAGGGAAATTAATCGTCATAGCGTCCAGTTAGCGTTCAAAATAGGCAACGGACGCGCGCGGACGTTCTGTTGACGGAAAACGACAGAAAACTGGATCCAAGGTTTATAATTTAACATCTGCAAACACGCTGTACAGCGACAGTTCGCGAAAATTTACCAAACTAATATGGCGGAAGAAATTGAGAGCGATGTTGCAACAGAGAATATTACTTAAATGGAAGAAAAGATCGAATATCCCCTGGATGTGAAATACTGTGGAGGTAATTTATATGTATTTTCAGTTTTTCGTAGCCGAGAGAGCTAAGTTTTCAAGAACATGTTTGAACGAGTTTATCTTTTCTTTAATTTCATCTTCTCCCTGACTCAACCTCGTTCGATTTTCATGCGACAACCTTCATTAGTGTGCAGTTTACCCTTGGAGGTAAGTTATCTTTCTGTAATTTAGAATTGCTTTGCCCTCCCCTGGAAGGAAAAGTTTATCAAAACTTGTGATACAAGGAAGTCGCTGAATTGCAAACCCCATTTGAAAATCTATTCGCGGAAATCCAGTGTCTTTTAATTATAAAGGGCTCACTCTCAAGATCTGATTGTTAATTCTCCCCTCTATTTCCTACGCATTTCTTTGTAAATTAGTTACAAGAATTGGGTGTCAGATAAAGTGAAAACTTCTGCTTGATTAGTTTTAGTATTCTTACTACCTGTTTATTGCCTAATGTATGGACATTAGATGGAAAAGCCATATTTTTATCACTTCTGGAAGTTATGAAAGGGTTAAAGCAAAGATACAATCTATAATCAAATGTGTAGCTGTTTATATTTTACTTCTCCTTTGCGTTATTGTGGATTTTGCAAAGAGTTTACTCTTGAAAGATTCCACTCTACAGACAGGGCTAAATGATGAAATGCTATGTCAGAGGGTATGTGGTCATCAACGCAGGCTCAAGTGTTCTAGGTCTAAAAGTTAGCAAAATTAGTGGAAAATAGTGAGGGCTGGCATTTAAAACCAAGAAACGTTGTTTTCATCAAAGGTATATCCTTTTTCCAGAGGTTTTAAGGAGAAAATTAATTTTCCAAAATTTTTAGGGGGTGTACCAAGTTTTTGGAGGTTGTTCTATAAAAGAAAAGGGCAAGGAAAACAATGTCTTGAAGCAACAGAGTAGGAAATCAACCCTACAAACTACTTAAAAATCTGTTTTCCGGGCAAAACCTGGTGCATGCGCATTCATTATTCAGCTCTGTCACAGGAACATGTTTGTTTTACTCCTTAGTACTGTGAATACACAGCAGAGTATGAGAAATGCAAGGAGTGGCTAAAAGCAAATATTCCTGATGCTTATAAAGCCCTAATCGGTCAGGGTAAGTATTTGAAAGATTTGAGGTTTCAACTTAGGTTGCCCCATCTATCAAACAAATGTGATCAAAATAAAATAAGAGGTTACTTGAAAAGGCAGGGTTACCTAACCCATGCAGGTTTCCTCATCTGGAGCGAAACAACTTTGTTTTAATTTCTAATGACTTCTAAGCCAAAATGCTTTTAGGTGGTTCCCCCACCTCCATGTAAACAGGCTCTTAAATGTGACCTGCACTCCTGTCTACATGGTCAAACACGAACGGTAGGGCTCGATAAATCAGCGATTTTCCAAAACTTGTTTTAGAAATCGGAAAAATAGGTTGACTTATGTAAACAGCGGCAGCTCTTATTAATAACTATCAGCTTTATTTTTCAAGGGTGGCACTTGACAGGATAAAATAAACTATTGTGCCCCTCTGTATAAAAATTAAACCACTTAGCATAAACTGGTACAGTTGGTCCATAATAATTGAATGTTTTAGGAATGAAAAGTGTGCAGATTCTAATAAATTTTTGGCAAAACATACTTTTAGCTTTCCTTATGTTTTAGTTTGTTTGTCTGAAAGGTAGTACCAAGATCCCTGTTTGTGTCAGTGATAGACATGAAACAAAATTGAACCCTGAAGTTGTGTTTTTATCTCAGATAGTGATGTTGAATTGTCAGTGCTGTTTTAGTTGCAGACCAGTTGGGTGATATGGAAGTAAGTGAAGGTGCAGCCAAAAAGAAACAAACTAGAGGTACTACTTACTTTTTACCTTTTTAAATTTCTTACACTTACTTTTAACAAAAGATGTGTAATTTTATCTTTTGGAGTATTAAGACTTTATTATATTATTATTATTATTATTATTATTGCTTGAATATTGTGTTTAGGATCTTTACCATCGGACCTGTATGGCCCCGCGTGCACTTACTGTTGATTACTGTAGATATTTGAAGTCTTTAAAGTACTCCTTAGCAAATGATATTAAATGCTCTTTTCTCGTTCATTTATCTTTTAGGTGGCAAAGGGGTTGTCAGAGCTCCGAAGAAAAAGGTAGGTACTTGAGTAATGAGGCATTAATTCTGCATATCCATTCTGCCAATTGTCTGTTGCATTATGACATCATGATTTGTGCATGGTAACAAATTTCAATTAACTGTAATTTTTTTTAATTTTGAAGCATTTTCATGGGAAACATAGTGAAAATGCTCAGCCTTTGGATATTCTAAGGATGTCATTGTTGAGTGACAACATCCTGTTCCCTGAAATAGATATATTCTGAGAATACTGAAATATGGAACAGTAAAATGTATAAAATGCTCTATTTTTTAATGCATTAATCAAAGTTAACAATGCCCATCTCAAAATATCTCAATTTATAATTTTAAAGTATTTATTGGACTTGGGATAGTGTTAGTACATATATTTGTAGTTCTGTTATTGGACCCTTGAGTTACTTTGGCTTGCATGCAGAAAAAAAATTATAACATAGCCAAAGTTGTAAGTGCTAGATCTGATTGGTCAATTTAGTGTCCATCATTTGCCCATGGGTGTATGTTGTTGACCTGAGCAAATACAAACACTAGTTTCTGGTCACATAACTGCCACAATTGGCAGTAATGATGCAATCTGATCGGCCAATTTGCCATTGCTGAGTGCAAACAGCGCTGCTCACATTAATGTGTCATATTGCACTCAAAGAATCGTTTCATTTGACATGGATATTGTGGAAAAAAAATCCACAGTGGTTTATTGTGGTCTGTACCCTTATTGACAGCGATATTCATCAACAAAGTGGTAAAAATTTGTTGCAGACTCACTCTGTGGCAGATCGTGAGTCCATAATATTTTGACCACTGTGATGATGAATATCATTGTCAACTAAATAAGAGTACAGACCATGCTAAACTACTGTCAATTTGTTAAATGTAGAGACCTTAACTTGTACGTAGTAGTTGAACTCTATACTATACTTGATACTTGCCTCATTTGCAATTTTGTATTTCTTTAAGAATGTAACTAAAAAGGTAGCACTGTCAAGAGCCCAGAGAAATAAGAAGAAGTATGTGACTGTTGTTACTGGACTGGGTACATTTGGTAGGTGTAGATTTTTTTATCATATTACTTTGTTGTGATGTAAAACACAGGGTAGTCTGTGTTGTGTCAGGCTCTTTTGGTATGTCAGTGAAGACATTGTAAAAAGTGGGTGAAGGAACTAAGGTTGAGGTTGAGGAAAGAGTGGCCTCCAAAATTTTCCATTTGCACTGCTATAAGTATTTGATTTCCCCCAATCAACACATAGTTAACCTATGGTTATGTGCTAGTCTTCTAAGGCTGGAAAGGAATCTTTTTGCCGGTGTTACCATTTTGCCTAAACTTGATACTCTTATGTCCAAGTCATGAAGTCAAGAGCACTCTTCATGATTCCATACTTTAGTTACTGCCTAACTCTGTGCTAACACAAACGAAAAACTATTCCATTTAAACTTGAAACAATTTGGACTAAGCTTGTCCTGTGACAGCATCCTTAAAATTTTAACATTTCACTCCCAGATCTCATTAGTAATTTTCCTTACTGTATCCAATTCAATTCTTATGATATTAATTAGGAGAATTTGGTATTTAATCAACTGATAATCCCGTAATTGATATGTTTCCTTATTTGCATCACTTACTAGTTGATATTATATTGATATTGTAAGGAGAAATTAAGTCTTGGTCAGCCATGGGAGTTTAAGGTTTAAATCCTCCATTTTGGATCATGTGATATTTCATGGTTGGTATTGTTATCAGCACTACTCCTTTAGAAAACTGCCTGTAAAATAATAATAATATCCAGTTTGATAAAAACATCAGCCAGCCTTGTCGCCTAGCCAAATATTTCGCTTCTCACGTGGCTGCTACTTCTTTCCAGATATTGACCTAAAAAAAGCTGCAAAGATCTTTGCCCAGAAATACTCGTGTGGATCGTCAGTGACGGGTGATGATGAAATTGTCATCCAGGGAGACGTCTTAGATGATTTACTAGATTTCATTCCAGAAAAATGGCCAGAGGTAAAGTCTTTCCTTACAGTGATGTCGATAGAAATCCAAAGCACCTCAGGTGGAGAAAAGGGGAGGGAACATTCCTTCACCTGCTAAACGGGTTTCCAGGGTCTTGAGTCCAAGCAGGGTGTGAAATTCAATTATTATATAACTGGCAGTGCCCGGGAGCAAGATAAAGCGAATCCAGTGTTCTGATTGGCTACCCTCGGTATTGTCCGCTTCGATCCCATGTAAGAAAAAGAGTGCTTGAAGCGGCTAATATCCAGCCATCTTGACTTCACGCTTGATTAATAATGCAAATGTATTGAGCCCCTTGAAAGGGTTTAATGCGTGTGTTGCCGCGAACGCTGACCAACCATGTAAAATCAAAACTTCTAATCCAAAATCGTTCTTGAAGGCGTTGAGAAGACTCGCATTGAATGTTTACAGTGTTTAACGCAACTTTAGGTTCAAAGTCGAGAAAAACTGAACGATATTCGAAGCTTTCAACTCGGTGGACTCGTGGCACCATTCCGCCACCCCGCGTGCACGAAGACTTAGATGTCCCCACAGGGGGCCCACACCAGCGGCCCACACCAGCGGCGTGTCTGGTCGTTTGTTCGAAATATAAAGAATTGTAAGGGAGAATATTGAAGAGTCGTAAGGCTTAAAATAGATGTAAACCTACCTCACTTGCTGTGTATTGTCGTTTTTGTGGTTCTAAATGGCGAATTTGAGCGATTTGGTAGATTTTGCCTTGACTGTTCGCTCAAATTCGCCATTTAGAACCACAGAAACGACAATACACAGCAAGTGAGGTAGGTTTACATTTATTTTGAGCCTTAACATAGCCATTCCTTGATATAAGTTTACGTTATTACGACTCTTCAATATTCTCCCATACATTTCTTTACATTTCGAACAAACGACCGCTTGTGTGGGCCCCCTGTGATGTCCCATAAACCCAGGCGACGGTCGCGCGTCGACCAGCCGCAGCAGACTGGAAGCTACTATGTGCACCGTCTGGGAACCTGACGAAGAAAACTTAGAGGAACAAAACTGCCCAGTTCCAGACCCCCCTCGCCGACAATTTTTTTTTATTTTGATGAGAGTTTCTCTGTTTTTTGTTTTTGCGCAATTTCTTCAATCCAATAAAAAAAAAATAAGATCGGTTTTTTTTATTATTGCAGATTGATGATGATAGTATAGAGGATCTTGGAGATCAGAAGAGATGATAGTGTTAAAACTATTCAGTTTCTTGAACTAAATTAAAAAAAAAAAAAAAAAAGCTAAATCATAAATTCACTCGCTCCTTTCGGGCGCTTGTTAAGGAACTTCTGTTTTTGAATTCGATTCTTCTCTAGCTGTAAAATATCGGCAAAGAGTAATATCTACAGCGGTGAAATTTGTAAACGTAGATTCACGACTTATAACTGACCGTCAAATTACTTTTTCTCCAAGTTTTCTGGGTTTGTTTGTTTCTTTGTTTGTTTGTTTTTTGTGACACCTTATACACACTGTAATTGTTTTTCCTTACTGCTGAAATACCTCGTGTCTTACCGGCCCTTTCCCTGATAAAGTTAAGATGAAGATCGACGCTGTTCTTTGACAAGAAATAGCAAAATTCTTCAGTGAACTTTAGTGAACCTGTTGTGTTGCTTAATGTTTTTGTCAAAGCTAGTAGAGGAAAGACCTTTCTTGAGGCTGCTCTCTCTTGAGTATTGAATTTAAACATCTGCTAGCTATCACGTGCCCGTGCTTTTATTTCCTTCAAAATATTTAATTGTCTTATCTTACTGCGTCACGCACAATCTTTGCCAAAAAATGTCCCTTACAGTTGTCGATCCGAGAACACAGCGCACTCTGACCCTGGCCAGGGTATACGCACCATATCAGGCCTTTCCATCCAGAATTCATTGCGCTAATCTTCACGCCGAATCGTTTCCCTCAGTCGAAATTAAGTAATGTGTTTGTTGGAAGGGGTCGGGAAGTTTTTGTAGCTATGACCAGTTCGATATAACGACCACGAGATGAGGAATGGGCATGGCAAATAAGCTGAAAGATGTTGTGTCTCGACAACTGTCATTTTATGGGGAAATGTTAAAGGCTGTATGCCAAAAAACTAAAACAGAGTTTGTAGGTGAAGTATTAACGCTTTACGCCCTAACATGAACTGTATGCTTATTCTCTATAATATTCTAAAAACCGCGTTTTCCTAACGACGGAGAAATTGTTAAACAATCAAGAGCTTCTTTAGTTGGTGATCATTTCCTTTATTCTCCTGACCTTAATGTGTGATTCAGGGTGATATTGTAAGGAGAAATTAGATGTTAGTCACTCTTAGGGGGCAAAGGGTTACACAGAGAACAAGACAGAGAACAAGAATGTGCGTGTCAGTTAATATTTTCACACGCCGGTAGTAGGTGAGTTTCTGTGGCTAACACACACGGCCGGCTCAGAAATGCTTAGTAGCGCAGTAAAGGAACAAGCTGCTGTCATACAAGGACGGTCGCTTGTAGTAGTACACCAGACGAGTCTTCCACACTTTCCACGACTTTGCGTCTTTGAGCTTGGGGATAGGTCGGTTCAACAGGGTGATGGGTGTACCCGACTTGTAATGTTCTGCAACCCAGTGGACTGCTTGGTAGATGCCGTTTGATGTAGTGTCCAAGAGGCAATTGCATAGATCATCCTGCGCATTATGAACAATACATAACAATCTTGAAAGTACACGGGAAAATGGTCGAAAGGAAGGGGAAGTGAGATAAGTCACAGGTCACGGATTTTCGCCGGGGGGGTGGGGGGAATCACACGGTTCTGAGGGTGATCTGAGCGGGGATTAGTCGTGGGTGACAGAGTATAAGGGGGGAGGGGGCTATAGACAATTAACTGCCAGTAATGGGGTTTTTAGAATACTACAGAGCCTCAGGGTGGAGGCGCGGTGGCCTCATGGTTAGTGCGCTCGACTCCGGATCGAGTGGTCCGAGTTCGAGCCCCGGCCGGGACATTCTGTTGTGTTCTTAGGTGAGACACTTTACTCTCACAGTGTCTCTCTTCACCTAGGTGTATAAATGGGTACCGGCAATTTAATGCTGGGGGTAACCCTGCGATGGACTGGCATCCCATCCAG